TGTCTCTTTATAGTCAATCTCTTCCCTTTGAGTATATCATTTAGCCACAAGACGTGCTTTATACCTCTCCACATTACCATTTGCATCCCGTTTAGTCTTAAAAATCCATTTGCAACCAACGGGTTTTGCACCTTCTGGCAATGGGACAAGTTCCCAAACCTTATTGTCTTGGATTGACTTATACTCTTCACGCATTCCTTCGATCAATTTATTTGAGTTGGGATCCTTCATTACTTGTTTGAGGTTGACCGGGTCATCCTCATTCAAGTAACCCACATCCTCATTTTTTTGAAGAAATACCAAATAATCATCCGGAATGGCATTTATCCGTTCTCTAGTAGATCTACGCAGAAGTGTTGGTTTTTGAACTGTATGTTCTTGAGTTTGTTGAGTTTGTTCTATAGGTACATGTTGAGGTAAGTTCAAAATGAACAGGCTCCTCAATTGTATCTTGAAACTGTATGGGAGCTGGAATGACTATTTGCTCCTGAGGGAGCGGGTCAACCACTTTGGTGATTTCTTGATCCTCAAAAGTAAAGTCTGAAACTGTATTTCTCCCCCCAAACTCAACATCCTCAAAGAACGCGGCAGTGACCGTCTCAAAAATGTTTCTTGATGTGGGATCATAAAATTTATACCCTTTGACCGCTCCGAGTAACCAATGAAATGACTGCTCAACGTACGAGGAGCTAGCTTTGGTTCATTTGGCCTATAAGGCCTCGCCTCAGTTGGACAACCCCACACCCTAAAATGCCGTAAGCTAGGCTTGCGCCCAGTCCATAATTCATAGGGTGTTTTAGCAGTCGTCTTAATTGGTACTCGATTAAGGATGTAGACTGCAGTCTTTAGTGCTTCCCCCACAAGGATCATGGTAAAGTAGATTGGCATATCATACTTCGAACCATATCATTTAATGTGCGATTACGTCTTTCAGCAACACAAATTATCACATTCAGGGTTTCATTATAGGAAGTTATAGTGTTGAGCATATACAAATTATCATTTTCCATAAAAGTACCAAAACCAACCACATTAGAATTAAAAGACAACACAACCTTTTTGTTTCCAAATGAACAATAATAACCGGATTTGTCCAAATAAGAAACATAAACCAAATTCCGTCTAAAAGACGGTATAACAAATGTGTCTTTCAATTCAACAAAATGTCCAGTACTTAATAATAATTTAAATATGCCCATATCTTCCAAATTTCAAAATAGTATCGAGAATAACCGGAAAAGTGGAAACAAGACCGATTCCCCATATCCAAAGTACATGCGTCTTTCAACATCAATTAGTTCTCGGTGGCTCAGGCAACCCTATATCGAAACACTGATGTTAGTAATTGAACTGGAGTCTAACGACCAAGTGTTTCGAGGTACTGAAGCTAAATTAACTTCAGAACAAACCATATTAAAGAATGTACCTTTCTTCACGCGCCAGGCAGAGTACTTAGCACAATGTTTCTTTAGATGTCCAGGTTTCTTGCAAAAGAAGCATGAAATCTCCACCGGATTACCCTTTGGAGCTCGACCCTTAGCAATCTCAACCTTAACAGCCTTATGCTTTCTTTTAAAGCCACCAGCATCTTTCGAGGTACCAATCATATGTACCTCTTCAGCCCTATTATACTTCATTCTTTCTTCTTCCTCAACACAGTGAGAAATGAGCTCATTAAGAGTCCACTTCTCCTTTTGGCAGTTATTACTGACCTTAAATTGATCGTATTGAGTAGGAAGAGAGAGCAGGACCAATAGGACAAGCATGTCCTCCGAAATGTCTAACTTTAGTGCCCTCAACTTAGAAGCAATATTGGACATCTTGAGGATGTACACCCTTATGTTGCCTTTGCCGAGATACCTCATGGTAATGAGATTCTTTAAAAGAGTACTCATTTCTGCCTTATCGCTTTTGTTAAAGTGCTTTTCAATCTCGACAAGAAACTCTTTAGCCAGAGTGATATCATCAGATATCGTTCCCCAAAAGATTTCTGGAATGCTTTTCTTTATGATCATAAGACTTAGGCGATTAGACCTTTCCCACTTCCCAAAGTACTGTTTTCTTCATTAGTGCTGTTCTGCGTAAGAGAAGTAGGTTTGTCTATTCTTAATGTCAAGTCTAGATCCATACAGCCCAAATGAATCAAAATTGATTCTTTCCAAGTCTTAAAGTTGTCCCCATATAAAGTGAGGACTGAATAGTTAGTAGATACCATAGATGAAGAACCTGAACAGAATAATAAATAGAGATACTCACATTATTACCCATAGTTAATCTTTCAGACCAAACATGGTTTAAACTCATAGCAAGATACCAAGCACAACATTAATAAAAAATCTTTGGATGGTAGTATTAATTGTAAGCGGTACTCTTGTTGTAATAATCAAATCTTGACAATAATTTCTGTCAAACAATAAAACTATCTTTGGACAGAATTATTGTTCACATGAAAACCTTATAATTGTCACAGATTTATTATCACATGTATGTTTGCAATTCGGCCATGTGTCAGTTCACCTTTGGGTTAATCAACACACACATGAATTACAAAAATACAACAATCTTTAGTATTTAAATGAATTAATCTACACAAAAGAGGTCACTTTGGCAACATTTTGTTTCAATCAATCCATTTAAATTAAACATGAAGTGTCGAACAATTTAACTGAAAATCGGAACTCAAACTTTAAATGGGTCATAAATCAACCAAAAGACCCAAAAAATGAATACACATAAAACATTATGCGTATGCTTAATCCATAAAATCTCAACAGAGATGGCAATTATGTTTTCACAGCAAATAAACCATGTCTCTGTCCAAATACAACCAATGACACAGAATTTGCCAAACTATAAATCATGTTCAGTGACAACAAACAATAACATGTTCCATTCCAATTATCATGATTTCAATATGAAATAAATAGGATTCAATCTCTGACCAAAACAAATAAATCATTGTGCAGATCAACTACAAGCAAAATTGATTGGATTTATTTGCATAGGTATGTGAGGGAGAAAATAATTCTGAATAGAATATTTCACACATATGTACGGTCAAGAAATAAATCCAGAATCCGAATACACTCAATTAGGCCAAGCGAAAAGGAAACTGATGGATTCATTCACAAAGACGTGCGATGTCAGAAAATAAATCCCAACATAATTCCCAATGGCAAAGCATGAATTGATATTGCAACCATAAATCGATTCTCAAATATTCAAGATGAAGAGGCTCTGATACCAATTGATAGAAAATTAGATTTAACCTTATGCGATAGAAATCGCTTAATCCAGGAGCGTTCATATTGAATAAACGAGAATCAAACCGAAGAACGGAGGCGTGCCTGATGGATTCATATTAATTGATTTTACTATAACTTAAATTCGAATTTTGGGATTTGAAAATCTTCCAAAAGACCTTGAATTTTTCCTTATTTTCTTTTATTTTTCTCTCTTCTTTCTTGACGTATGAAAGAAAAAACCAATGTCTTATGGAGAATTGTTGGGCTCAATAATTGATTGATAACTTTCTTCACACAAATTCATAATTTAAGAAAGATAAACAATATTTTATAAATGCCCATTTTATTTTTCACGGCTTTTGGGGACTCCACCCATAAATAATTTTGACCCAAATTATTTGCTATTTAGGTCCTTAAGTTTAATATTATTATTTATTACGTCACCAAATAATAATATTACCGGGTGTCCACATTTAATCATTCCACAATCTAAATTAATTCCCTTATGATTACTTAATTTGGCTAAACAATGTAATGAACCAATGTATCAATTACACATATTTAATCTCAAAATAGATCTAACATGTTTATATCCGAGTTGGGCCATGAGGGACTCAGGGGCCGAGAATAGTACTCCGGACGAAGACGATCGCAAAGCCAGATCGACATTCGAGTAACAGGAAGTCCGAACTTGAAGAAAAGCAAAGTTGTTAGGGAAATTGTGTAGAGCAGTTTCCCAGGTTGGCACCTCGAAGCTAGAGGGGCCTCTATAAAGGCATTACCACGAGAAGAAACCTTGGAGATCAGAATTCATTGACAAGTTTCGGAAAAAGTCCGGCCTGGAGAATCAACGAGACCGACTCCCGACACGAACATAGGACCTGAAAATCGTTAAATATTGCCACTTGTCAAGTGGTGATTGCAGATGGGACGTGCCACCTTAGCCTGCTACCCTAATTTACCTAGGCGTATAGGGCGACCTGTCAGCATTAAATGTTCCACATGTGTGAATGTCTGACAGGTAGTCATTAGATTAACCTCAAACCTCATTTAATGCCCGTCAGAACGGCGCCGACCTGCATTTGTAGTTACTGTATGAAGTGACAGGGTGAACAATAGAATGAATAGTATATTTATGTTACTATAAATAGAAAGACCCCTTCATTTATTAAGGGTTGTTGAATCTTCTACCAACTTTCTTTCTCTACATTTATTCTATAATAAACGTTGTGATTAATCCAAAGTGTAAGCAAGAAGCCGGCCTCGACTTAAAAGGCCGACCTTGTAATTAAAGCAATAAAAGCTTGTTTCTTTCTTAAATCCTTTCTTTTACCTGCCTTTATCATCCTTAAATCTTATATTAACCGTTGACCGATTACGATCGTCAACAATATGTTCGAACACTATAAAATTATTAATTTAAAATGAAAAAAATAGCTTAAAGAAATGATTGACTCAATAATCTAATTGATTGAACATTGATTAAAGGTATTCCATCAATATGACATCCAACATTAACAGTTGTATCCATAAACATTATTACAACTTACAAATACTATCCTAATTCTTAAAAACATCAAATCCAAGAATTGAACAAGATAATGATATTAGAAACTATGGATTGTCAGCATAGAAGAATGCTTCTAAAGAGATTCATAGAAGTTATTAAACTTCTACTACATATAAAACAAATTTAAGCATAAAAATGGACAAACGACTAAAACATAACTCAAATTTAAAGTTATTTGAGACTTAATTGAATGCTCCTGCAAAAGGATTTTGGCTCTCATTCACCAATTTTTCTGGATATAACAATGGTATTATTTCTGTTTGTACTAACCAGTAAAGTGCACCCCAACCATACTACATCATATATAATAAAATTTATGCTGTGCATGTAAGATACCAACAAATTTTAAACATACATAGTCAAATAAATAAAGGAGAAAGAATTTACATGTTCCATTTGCCTATGTGCTGTCACATAAATTCTGCAACAGCCACAAATCACCCTCCCTATGATACACTATACACAAAAACCAGCACAGGTTGTATTTATTCATGCTATACTATGTCTATATGCACTTAAAAAGTAACAAAATTAAAAATCAATTGGTGAAGAACCTATAACACCCCTATCTGGAAAATGACTTATGGGTTTCACTTTCTCATCACTTTCTTCACTTGAAAAGAAAAATGCTTTACCGAGACACCATCCGCAAATGTCAAAGGAAGTTCCTCTTCAGCAGCCTCCCTTGGATCAGACCAACTTTTGAACCTATATTCGTCCTTTGAGTCGCCTTTAAGAGGTGGGTCCTTAGGCGAGACAGGTTCCTCTGCTACATCCCGGTACAAATGGTTTAACATGAAAAGGGCAGTATCGTAATCTCTCCAGTAGTTTCTGCACCAAAAATTGATTCACATTCTAAACAGTTTTGGTCTCAATCGAGCACATAAATTTCACCAGTTTAAAAATCAGAAAATACTTACGTGTGTGCCCCAATGGCCGATACATACGGATGGCGAAAAGTTTTATCCTGCATCATCAAGACAAAAAAGGGGCAGAAGAGAGATTTATAATCTGCTTTTACTTTGATCAAATTTTCGACTTTTTTAAGAAAAATGGTCAAAGGGCAGGCATACTTGTAAGACATGATCTATCCTCCCGCCTTCGTGTCCTATTAATCTATCCATCATTACTGAGCCATAAGATCTCTCTTCTTCCTCTTGGGTATTTTCTGATTGCTCTGCGTGGAATATGGGAATATTCAATTCCAATTACCGAAACATGTAAAAGAAAACAATATAATTAAAAAAAAAACAGTAAACAACTTCTAAGAATTAATTTCCTTCGGATCACATAAAATCTATCTCATTTTAAAAATTTCCTTCCAATATTATGTTGGAGATGGTAAATGTGTTACAATAGATGTAATCAGTTCATCTATTAGTTACCGTAGATAATATTCCACTGAACAAGCAGCTCCTAATCTATAATCTAATTAGTGAATAGAAGGTGGAAGAAAAAATGAAAAAAGGAAAAACGGAAAAGAGCTTCTGCGCAAAGAGCTGCAGGTCATAGAAAGTACTTACTGTCCTGGCCATCATCGTGTCCCGATTCACAGAGCGTCAGCACTTTAGCCTATTAAAAAAGCTTATTATTATATAAAACTACACATCTGCTTTTTGGACATATTAGTTCTTTGAAAAGATGGAACTAACTTGCTGCATAACATGATTATTACTATCTACGACAATGTAAAAGATGCTCTAAAAGCTAAATTAATAAGTGCCCAGCAGTCGAGCAGCTTTCTCTGGCTTCACACAAGCTGGAGCTAAAAGATGACTGCCTACTGCTAGCATAAGTTGAAGAATTTGAGATCCAAATCACCCACATTTACAGAACCCTAGGGGTCGTAATCATAATATGTGGAATGGAAAATTCAGGTTGTCTGCAGTATGCTGAAAAGCCGAGGAATGAAATCATAAGAGTATTTGATGACATCAGCAATTTCATCAGCTCCACTAGCGGCGGTTGAAAAGTGTAATACAAATGTAAACCTCGGGGATGGTTTTTGTGATTTTCAAAGTTCGAAGGGCTTTTTGGAAATGCTAAGCTTGCCTTGTGCAATTATGTCTTAAAGTTAATGTTGAACATGAACCATCCTTTAAGAAAGTCCAAGATGAAGAAAAAAAAACATGATGTGGCAAAAAAAAAATATTCTAAGGAATGTCCTAATTTGAGAATTTCAGAAAAGAAAATTAAAAGAACCAAGAGACCTACCCGCATAGTGCTGAACTTATCCGCTATTGCTCTTGAATATGTAGCTAACCCTTCTTTGAATTCCTGTATGATATATAGCATATGAGAACTAAATAAAGTATATAAATTCAACAAAATGCTATGCGAGGAGTAATAGTTCTCTTACACGATAAACAACATACAGCCGTTTCCCGCCTCTGTGGTAGGGAATAATGACGGGAGGTTTGAGTATATATTCTTTGCAAATGAGTGGTTCTATTCTGTGCAGCAAAGAAGTGTACTAGATATGAGACTTATCAGGAAGAAAATCGAAAAAGTCGTGATCAAAACTGTAGAAGAATATAAGACATACCTATATGCTACAGGATCAAAAGGATGGAAAATGTTGAACATTTGCCGACATGCTGGCATCTCCTCATTTATATTTTCCTCTTTCCAGTATTCTTTCCCTTTACCTAGAAACCCAATAAAAATTAAAAAATCAACTTAATCCTGATATTTAAAAAAAAAGTGCACGGACAACCAATCTGAAACTGAAAATTCATGGTGGATATCTTGAAAGAAAAATAGGCAATGAAAAGTTCTCAATATGAGTTGACAACTCACAATTAACAAGGCAAGGCTTTTCAGGAAGGAATTCTGATGAAACTGTCCAACCCAATTAGACAAACTAAATATCGGAAAAAAAAATGATGTATTCGTCATGGTAAAATAATTTAAAAACACCGACAAGAACAAACTGAACATGTTATCCAATCTATGTAGATCAAAAACAAAAGTTACCGTATGTGATTCTCATTCCATGCTTAAAGGATGCCAACAACTTAAGAGACATGTATAGAGAAAAACAAAAAGGTAGGAATGCAGACACATGCAAGTATCAAGCCTTGATTTTTACCAATCCCAATTCGAATATTCCGCAGGGAAAGGAATACCCCAAGGGGAGATCCAACAGCAAAGAATGTGTCAACCTGACATAAAAATTGATATGTTATAATCTCAGATTTAACATATATGTAGAATAGAATGACGTGCTGGAGAGGAATTACACTGCAGGCTTTATAATAAGCCATAGTTGCATAAAATTCGTCCTTATAAACAACTTTCGAGATAGTCTGTAAATCTAATGTCAAAAGGCGTAAGAGATGGCAGGAAAATACCTTGAACTCTAGCTTTGTGTATCTTATTTGGGGTTTATAACTCTTCACGGGATCTGTATGCTCACATTGAACTCTCTCAGAACCAGATTGATTTTGATTTTCAACTGTTGCAGACTTTTTTCCATTCACTGGTAGCATGTCATGTGAAATTCGCAAGATAAAACTTTTAAGAGCCTTCAAGCTAAAACCGTAAGCAATTAACAGATATAGTCCAAAACAAGTGCCGAATAGCATATTAGAAACTACAAACCATACCTTTATCAGCTTCCAATTCCTTGAGTTTTGATTTCAGCAGACTAATCTGGGTATCAAGTGTGAAAACATGAGAAGGGAAATGGAGATATCAGACGAGCAGCACATATAAACCGTCAGTAACTACCTCTTCCGTCAAAGATTTAATTGTCTCGTCTTTATTATCATCACAAGACTCAAAGTTAGTTTTCTTGCTGCTACTGGGGAAATCCACATGATCTGAATAGCGAAAAGGTTCATTGCAGTTTTCATCTAATGACAAGGCATCAATTGTCTGCTGATAGCCAATGTCAGGTGTTGATGATGACTCATCAGACTCTGATGATGCAGGCGGACTTAGATGGAATGTTCTCTCTACAGGCTCCTCAGAAAGGTCCCGAGAGTCCATATAACTGCCCTTGTTCGCAAACTCGACATTCTCAGAGCTATTATTATTCCTAGGATTTGGTATTGGGTTGCTAGGTGTTAAGTTGTTCTTAACAGGACATGCCACATCACTTTCCTTTTGTTCTTTGTACATCCACTCCATTGGGAAAGGCGAACACAGAGTTTGTTGATGACAAAGGATATCATAAGATAAAACGCTACCCAGAGAGTGCCCGTATATGGAGACCTGCAAATCAGATTCGCATCTGGAGACTCATCTTGACAATTATTTGAATAATCAAACGAGATTTGAAAAAAAAAAAGTTATAGAAAGCTTTCTATTGGTCAAAATTCAAATACCTTTCCATCATACCCAGGATTCCTCTTCAGAAACTTCAGATATAGTTTATTTAGTTGGTTGGATACCTGAAACGTGACATGAACAGCTTTGACTTAAATTTTCTGAAGTTACCTTAAATATCAGCAAATTTTCTTCCTTCTTTCTAAAAATTAAAAATAAAGAGGAAGAATGTGAAGATGCTGAGAAAAGATACTCTGTAGAGTGTACCGAGTCAATGATTTCCTGACAATATATAGGGCTCATATAGTATAAGATATCATGAACAGTTGCACTCAACATGGTACGCAGCCCTCGGACTCCGTCTAAAGTTATCTTTTCGACTGCAACTTCGCCACTAAGAGCTAAGCCCTTTCTCCACTGCAAGGGTAAACATAATGATGACAGTGCTATAATAATAATGATAATAACAATAACTATAATAAACAGCATAATGCATATGGGACATCAACTCTGAGAAGCACTAGAACTCTATATGTCAGAGAAGAAAACCTAAACAAATGAATAAAATGTTAAATATGTTGCTTAACAATACATCCAATAACCACTACCATTGACGAATTAAACTCCATTCCCCAGTAAGGAATAGGATAAACAAATAAAGAACAAGAAGAAGATGACTTATCCAATATTATAAACAGAAACTACATTAATTTTCGGAAGTTCCAGTCCAAATACTAATTTGATATATTCTGAGTATGAAGCTCAAAGTCTCCCAATCTATCATTATATATTATACGTATATTCCATTCATTTATGAATATCCAAATAATACAAACTCTTATCTTTTCAATATCTACCCCCAAATATCTCACTATTTCACGTATCGATCTACTCCACCTTATTGAGTCACATCAGTATTTGCAGAACAAAAGCTGGAACTCATTTTACTATATAAGACCATATTATATATACCGAAATGAAGGGAACTATAGTGCATTTCAAATCTCCAATAAATTAAAAGAAAAATTTAAGGAAATTTCTTTCACATCAGAGAAATGAATCGATGATCATAATCAGGTTATGGAAAGCAACAAGCAGTTACAAAAATATGAATTGTAGAAGTGTACAGAACCTGGCAAGGAATATAAAGAACTCTTTGTGTGGCAAGTTGGTGGGAAGTCAGGTGTCTTTCAGCAACATTTGCAGTTACAAGGCGAAAGTCTCCAACATCATCGACCAAATTTGATTTCTCCATCCTTTGACCAATACCATGAACCATGAATACTAAATGTCGAACAGGAACCTATAAAAAATATGCTTGAATTAAGCATTTTACATCACAAAAGGTCATTGGTGGCATTGAAAAGCAGAGGTAAGTTTAGGACAACAAAGCTTCGGCAGGCAGGCACACACACATTCTTGTGCAAATATATACTAAATATCAAATTCATATTCCGCACAAGTCCAAGCTCAAGCACGTGATATATTAAGCCCTGGCAACAAGTTAGAGTACTGATAACTAAAGACGCTGTTCATGGTGTCGGGTGAGTTATGATATGACTCGCACTAAAACCACTCTGTTAAAGTTACTTAAGACCACACATATTATTTTACAATCCATCTCAGTCTTCCTCTTTCAAACCAACGTAAAGTGCTTGAATTACAGATCAAAGGTGTAAAATATTCAAGTAATTGACATTTATAAGCATGGAGCCATTTATTTCTCACTTACTTCCCAAAAACCCCGGCTCTTTTGTGTGGTAAATCAAGCCAGATAATGAAAGAAAAACATCCAGAAATTCTGTATGTTACAATAAAATGGGAATTTCTTTGTTACTTGACGAAACACCGATATGTTCCCAGAACACTAACTCGAGATAATTAAGGATCGCAGCAATCATATTTACATATTCTCTCTCACGTCCTCGAGCTAGAAATATATTGGGTGTTTCAGAACATAGATCACATCTAAATCATTCATACCTGCGAACAGTAATCATCCATTTCTTCCTCCTTTTTCTGACGTAATTCATCCTGAAATAAACGGGACGTTCCTTTTGGTTATTGGATAAGGAAATAGTACCCCCAAAATCAATATTTGTGATCAACATGTCACTTCATAGAAAAATTAAATAAAACAATGACAAAAGCCGTGTGGTTTCAAAAAAATTAAATAAAACAATGACAAAAGCCGTGTGGTTTCAAAAGACGACTTCTTGACAAATGGATTGCTTTTCCAGTAGCCAGGATACGCGAATATCAAATCTAATATGAGGTAAACCGTAAACTAGGACCACAAATAGGATATCAATATCAGATTATTGTTATTAATATGTGAAGATACTTATATAAAACAGATGCCCAGTCAACTTGGTGTATAAAATATCTGATCCACTCACAAGATGCATAGCGACAAGCAGCAACTAGCATTGTTAACAAACCAGTGCTTCATAATCGTATCCAACGTGTCAAAACTCAATATTGATTGACATTTCATATCAGAGTCTCAATAAGAGTGTGAGGTGACCTATATTTTAACTAGATAACAAATTGTAAGCCAAAACAGTGTTAATGAGCTAGATATGTAATCAAAGTTTGCGACTTTCTTCATAATTTTAGAACTCAATTAGGGTAACGGGAAGGATTATTGAGACCAATTCCCATGACCCTGATTCCCCATTTAAAGAAGAAATCAAGTCACATTTTTTCTTTCTTCTGTTGTGTATTGTAGTACACATAATCAGTTTTTTCCAAGTGATTAATGTTATTCATTAAGGTATGACAACAGTTGAAAGCAAAAAACAACGAAAAAAAAGTAGAGGAATAAACCTGTGTTGGTTTCTGTGAATGAGATGGAGCAAAGCCACGTCTTAACTTAATGCCATTTCCTCCAAAACCTACAACACCAGAAAACCCAGAAGCATCAACATTTAGCCAAGCTTCCCATGTATCGTCTTCCCCAACAAAAAGAGCATGCAATCCCTACAGCACAAAAACGCATTATTAACCAATGTCTAAAATGTTAATAACAATGACAAGTAATACTAAACTAAAGCAAAGGGCATACTGGAGTAGAGCCCTGAAGATCAACTCGAGCAGCAAAAAGACCAGACTGTTGAAAGGTTCTCCTATGCCAAACCTGAAAAGATAATAAGTTGTCACATCAAAAAAAGTCAAAAACTAGAGTAAGGAAAACTGGAGTAAATTGACCAGAAGGAACCTATAAGGTGCCATGAAGAATACGAGAAGATTGGTATATTAATAATAAACAAGGCCAATGGTTGCACCTAAGATATGTTTGAAATTTACCATACGAACTATTTGAGCAAATAATTGAAGAATTGAAGTGCACCTGAGTACGATATGCATACTCTAATTGCTCTGAAACATCCTCACGCAGTGGAAGCCAGTCAAGACCACCTTTACGAGCAAACCAGTGGCCACGCAGGACACGTCGAACCTCTCCATTCCAGTATACAGGAAAACAATGTCTCCTGACCAAATCTACCTACAACAAGTAATACACTTCAGCATTTTTTCTCTTTTGACACAAAGAAATTTATAAACCCACTGGATGTTTGGACATGCATTCATGCGCTCCATAATTGTCAAATGATAAGAACATGCAAGAGATCCATATTAAATGTCCATTCGTGCATGACTGGACTACTTGCAGGAATACTAAATTCATACGACAAACTTCAGTGGACGTTCAATTTGTACATCAAGTAAGAAAAGGCTCTATTTTTATGACTGTACTTGCTCCACATTCAACATTTTTGTGACTGTAGTTGCGTCCATATAATCACTTCACTTAATTTGGTGGTATCACAGGTAAGAGCCATTATAAAAGACTCATCTTAGAAAATATGCATACAATCTCATACACCAACTCAATCCATTGACATAATAACCTTGTACATAGAAAATACTTTGGCACAGTAGAAAAGGTGAGTACCTCCAGTGATATTAACTGAGCATGATAAACTTATGCTGAACTTTGTTAGTCTATCTCCCAAAGGTAAGATATGGAAATGAACATCTTGTTTACCAGCATGTCTACCAATATAAAATTAAGTAAACATTCCCAGTTGCTATGCGTGTGACGATTTCAGGGATATAAATGAAAAAATAAAAGAATAAAAAATAAACTATCAGCGTTCCCTTCACAAAGAAACAATTTGGTTATAAGAGTACTAAAGATAATACTGCTACCTCATATAATCCTCCTTTTATAGGGACACCAACTCTTTCTTCTTCAATTGCATATAGCTCGGTTGACTCTGGACTCATGGGAAATAATTCTTTTGTCTGTGAGGTTGACGTGGGAACAACACCTGTGCCCATTGGGCCTTCACTACACTCAGAATACTCTTTCCACCAACAGGAGAGTAACTCATCCTCTCTCTGTGAGTATAGAAACCATCAGTCATCGTCATGAAGTATAAGAAACTTTTGTATACAAAATTTCTTCCATATAAGAGAGTGATATGATACACAAAAATTAAAGTGAAAAGAATACGTATAGGGGAAACCGCTTGACCTGCAAAAAAGCTGCCTCTATTGCAAGGGAATCTCTCATACCAAAGCGAAAATAATCACCTTTACCAACAACTTCTGTTGCAGGGACTGATGCAGCTAACTCTGAAAAATATATTAATATTTATCATATTCAAATGCCATAAAACATAAATGTGAAGCGATTGATGCGCCAAGACTACATAGAAAACACAAGCATAAATAGATAGCCAATTTCCTCAAGCAACAGCATTGGAGACTCTGATGCATGTTTTGTGTTGTTTCAGCAAAGTTCATTAGTAAAGACAGTAATGTGTTATCCATTTACATGTCCGTCATTTTAAAACTGTGTTATTTACTATCTCCAATCACAGACAGCTACTCCAAGATATCCTTAAAGCAGGCAAAAACAAAAATAAAAGCATGACATTTCTTGAAAAGAGGGACCAGAAGAAAGTTTCTGATCTCCTTAAATCCTCCTCTATCGCCCGTAAATTCATTCAATTTCCTACTTTCCTGAATTTACTTTACATCTCATATGCTCTTCAAGCATGCTTGTCAGGGAAAGAAAACAGATGCAAAGGTTTGTTGTCATTAAGTCGGCAAGTTGACGCAGAACAGACAGGATCAAGCATGCACATACACGACTTAGAAAAAATGAATGGACCATTGAACCAGTAAAGCAAATTTCTCCAATCCATCTTACAAGATCACAAGCAAGCTTACCTATTTCTTTATTCCTATCTTTTTTTCCTTTTCAAATGGCAAAAATCGACTAAGCAAATTTAAAGCTCCCATGAACAAGGCACTGACCATTAACTGCCAAAGGGACCTTGCAAAAGTACCACCGAACATCCCCGCCATCCGAGGGGCTCCTTGTGTGAGCGAGATATTTTTGCCTGCCTTCACACTGCTCAATCTCATTGGCCAATCTCCGTATATTCCAAGGTGTATTCTTTAACATATCCGGTGAGGTCCCTTCAATCTCATCACCACCATCACAGCTGCCGGCGGCCCTCAGTTTCAAGTCCATCAAGGCCTTGTTTCACGGCTCAATAGAAGGCAAAATCGCCACTAATCTCTGTTAATCACCAACAAAAAAGGCATGTTTTTTCTGTGTTCCATTTCACCAAATTATGCATTGGGGCTAAGCTCATTGGATGTTACTCTCCTATTTGCCTTCCCATGAATGCTTCGGCTCAATCCTTGTGTACCAAGAAAAACAATCAATGAAAAACCAGCAAAAAACACCAATGATTCTGGGGTTTAGAAAAAGGAAAAATTACAATCGTCCGGCCCAATCTTGAGCAAATGATGAGGCTGAATAAAATGATCGACTGGGAATTAATTCATAAGCAAAATGAATCGATCTCGTGTCCTGGAACGACGAAATTATCTAAGTTTGGCAAGAGGACATAAATCCCAATCGTCAAAACACATCCAGAGTTTGTCTTGGTGCGCTCGCGTTCGTAATATCAAAGGAGGACCACAAGTAAAGAGTCCGAAAGAAAACAAGCATATATTACAACGAGTTGATTGAACAGAATATTATTGTACGATCCTTAGAAAAATGACGGTGTGCATGACATTAATATTTTTAATAAATCTCCAACACTATTTTGGTGCAAGTTGCTGGGTTTGTTTGGCCTAGTCGGAATTATTTTAAGTCGATGGAGGCTTTAGTTATGATTGGATATGAATTTAATTGATTTTTTATCTTTATTTTTAATTTAGTTATATTTTTTAATTTAATTTTAACTCAATCATACTTAATAAGTCGGAGTACTACAAATAATTTATATCAGAAACGTGACTTATCAATATGAAATGGACCACATCATTCACACGTCATTGAACTACTTGACATTCGTACTAGTTTTCAAAGGACAAAATAAGGGGGTCTATTCGTTTGGGATTTCAAATGATATTTTGAGACTTTGAGATTTGAAACTTGTTTGCGATTTTTAGATTTCGAAAGAATCTTATGAAATCTTAGGGGGATGTATTCAATTGGAATTTCTAAAGACTTTAGAAATTCTGGTGTATTCATCAATTTTGATTTGTTAAGAGTTTTAAAATAAGTTTGGGTTGAAATTTTAAGTGAGATTTCGTATAATATTTTTTTTTTTAGACATATTAGCAAATCTTAAAAAGTTTAAACAAATCTTAATCTCAATTATTAAGTTAAATACCTCAAGATTTTGTAAGACTTTTTAAAATCCCAAATGAATACCCCAAAACTTTAAAAGACTTAAAAATTCTTAAAATGTCTAAATTAATACATCAGTATTTTTAAAGTCTTAAAAAGTCTTTAGAAATTCCAAATGAATGCTCTCCCTAAGTCAAGACAACATAAACAACAAGCATACCAAAGTAACTTAGAGACCACATTCAAGCTCTCTAGACAAAATATTGATCAACGTGACATGGAGTGTACCTTTTACTACACATAACACGACCATCAAAAAACTCAAGAGGAATTGTCCCCCATCTACTCACTTGTTGAGAAGAAATATGGCATCAAACATTCAGTCCAAACCACTCTAACTAGAGAGCCAACATCATGAACATGTACCAACTCAATATTTAAAGAGACATTTATTGACCAGCCATTATGAAGCCAAGCAAACATGAGACTTTAATAAACTTGATAACACATGGCAACCCGCCAACCATAGACAACATAATTCAACATGACATGGATCACATCTTCTTTCGAATAGAGGGGAGCTATTTGACATCACACCAAAAGAACCTCAACCATCTCAGCCATCAAAGAGATCGTAGACAACCCTTCTACCCCAATCAAACTTGCAGTAAAATGACTCTACATCAAGTAAAGACATTCGTTGATCAAGCATCCAGATGTTCAGCTTAAACCCAGTGGATAAACCCATCAAACAGTTTGTACGAATATTGAGATATACACCAAAGAAACATCATGGATGAACGTATCAAGAAGATTGCACCAACGTGAGAGTTTCCATTTAATATTTTAAGCTCGCAATGCATGCCATCTTTGGAGATATCAATCCCAAATCTTTATGAGAATGGAAAGAAGCATTACCACAAACTTGGGACTAACTTAGAATTCTAAGCTGCTTACGCACCCAATAACGGGATCAAATCATGATGTAGTTCAAATAATAGTTCCTATTATACATAGTTTATCTTCGTGCGGACCACGAGTAACAAGCAGTTTAGTCTCATGCGCCATGTAGAATTTTAAATTGAGGACTTTAGATAGCTTATGCTCGTATCAAGGAGTTTCGTAAATGTTTAGATTCGTATTTAGGAGTTCTTTTATTTTTGTTTTATAACTTGTAAACATATTTTGCTCATGCTAAGGAGCTTTGGTTTGATTTAATTTATAGACATTTAATACTCATCGATATAGGATATTATATACTAGACCAGTCTTAATGGATAAAAATGGAATATATTGAAGAATAAGCCTACACATGGCTAGGACACGTGGCATGATGCTATTGGACAAGCCCAACTTGGGCCATAAGGTACACTCCCCCTATAAAAGGGGCTAAGGTATCTCATTCTCTCTACATTCATAATTATACTTTTGGGATTTGGAGTCTTGGAGTGATTCTGACTTGAGCGTCGGAGGCCCGACGCCGGGACCCCTCCCGGCGTTGGGTTCTTGCAGGTACGGAGGCCGACCGAGTCGAAGGAGCCCGAGTGAAACCTTATTCACTTCATTGGCGCCGTCTGTGGGACCCGATAAAAAAGCCAAACGGAGTTCCAACCGAAAAATTAGAGAAATTTTCTAGCAAGCTCCTTCTTCTCCACCGGCCGCCACCACCGCCGCGACCGCCGGCCGCCGGCCGCCGGAAAATGTGCTCCGATCGGAAAATTCTTTACATCATTGGATAGATCTCTTTGAGGTAGATCTCCCCTTAAAATTTCATGCGAAAATTCCTCCGGGAAGGCCATCAATTCCGCGGTCAAAGTTTCCAGATCTAGCAAAAAATTAGTCAAAATCGGACATTCAAATGCATTTTCCCGACGATTCGTGAGGGCTATGAAAAATCTGAGGGTACCACTGGAATCCTCTCGACGAGGAAATCTACAGAGCCTGACCTTCACCGGACACCTCCGCCGGAAGCCGCCGGCCGCCGCCGCCTCCGCCACCAGCCACCGCAAAAATCCTCTGATCGGAAAAATCTTTACATCATCACGAAGCTCTTATTGTGCTCGTTCTACCCTTAAAATATCAAGCGAAAATTCCAACCGAAAGGTCGTCGATTTCGCCGGTCAAAGTTTGTAGATCTAAGAAATTCTAGTCAACTCCGGTCATCTTCTACAATTTCTCGACAATTTCCAGCGACTCACTCTAAACCGAGGGCACCATCGGATTCCCCTAGCCAAGGCGCATGCGTGGATGGCCACCGTAGCCGGAAACGGTGAGATTGGTCGGCGATTTCCTTTTTTCCGGCGAACTTTTCTTTGTCGGCGTGTTTCAGCTGCTATCGCCCAGCCCGCTCGTTTCAGCAGGGAGGAGCTCGCTCCTTAGCCCAGCTAGCAAGAAGGCCCACTGCTCTTCAGCTAAGGGTTAGGCCCGCGTCGTTCAAGCCCAGGAGGATTGTCCAGCTTACGATAGTCCGTGAGGAAGGCCCAGCGCGGGGTCGGCCCACTATCACTCATCCGCGGCCCAACATCCATTTGCTCCAGCGTGCGGGCCGCGTCCAGCCCGTTCGGCCCGCGCTCAGCCCGCGCGCTTCCCCACAGATCCAGCCCGCACCAGTCACAGCCTCTGGCCCGCGTCCTGCAGCTCCTTTTCTCTGGCCCAATGGTGAGTTTTTACGGCCAAGTGCATGGATATGGCCCAATTCGCGGTCCAGGTGGTCCAGCAATGCGCCCAGCTCGAGCCCAAATGGTCCAACTGCCACGGTTCGAGCCTAAGGTTATTTCGGGACGATTCAACGTGGATGGTGAGGTAATTTGAGATGGAATTCTCATGATGAAGGTATGGAATTAATTTTAATTATGGGCTCAAAGGATATTTAAATTGGTGAAAATTGGAGCAATTACTTGATTGATTTGCGGAGCATTATTGGATTTATTCGTGGATTATTATTTGATCGATTCATGGAAATATTTGATTTATTCGAGGAGATATTATTTGGTTTATTCGTGGAAAATATTTGATATATTCGTCAATATTATTTGGTTTATTCATGGAGAATATATACGATTTGTTCGGGCAAAAAGTATTGACTTATACGTGAAGCTTATATGACTTATTCGTGGATATCATTTGATATATTCGTGGAGGTTATTTGTTATATTCGTGAGAATATTCTATTTATTCGAGGAGGTTATTTGAGTTATTCGTGGAGGTATTATTTGATTTACTCGAGGAGGTTATTTGATTTATTCGGGGAGAATATGTGATATATTTGGGGAGAATATTCGATATAGTTGTGGAAGCTATTTGATTTATCTGAAGCATTATTTGGTGTATTGAGGAGTATTATTTGACTTGTTTGTGGTATTATTCGACTTGTTCAAGGAGAATTTTTTAATTTGCTCGAGATATTCGTGGTGATATTCGTTTTATCCGTCGAGATATTTGATTTATTTGTGGAGAAATTATTTGATTGAAAATAAATGCGGGTCGTAATGTCGAGTTGGAGATATTTAGCGAGTGTTTTATCGTGTGCTTGGTGCATTTATCGGTGGACTCGAGGAGATGAATTAGGATGATATGATTTGATATCTTGATATATTCAGAGTCTCTCATTTGGATTTTTATGTGAAAATGTGAAATTTTGCTTGAACTGATTATTCATATTATTTAAGCATGTCTTAAATCGAGGAGATGGTGATGATTGTATTCGGTCTCTTATTTTTCTTGCGTGGAGAATTGCAAAGTAGATGACATGAATATAATATGGATAACGATATCTCTTTGAATTTTTGTCGAGGAAACATCAAAATAACCCAAGTCTCGACAAGCTATGGTGGACGAGTTGTGACGTTTCGAGGACAAAATGAGAGAACATGGATCCATCAAAGCAGGGTGATAATGAGGACGAGTCTGGATGGTGCCGATCGCAGATGGCAATTTCAGAGGCAGAAATCATTCTCTTTTGGAGATGTAGGATAATTGGGAGTGGCATTCTCGACCTTCAGGTATAAAATTAATCTCAACTCTTGTCGATGGTCAAGATCGACTGACACTATTTTGTGACATATGGTGTCTCTTAGCATTCTTTTTTTGGAGGAATGCTCATTGTTTGAATATTTTGGGTGAAATGTTGCTGAAATTGTGGTGTATGTGGATATGTCTGGAATTATTATTTGAGTGACTAACAAAATGCAGAAAATGGGAGCCTCGAACAAAATCCACCATGACTAAGGCCTCCGGGCTGGGTGGTCACATGTAACGACCACTCCTTCGAGGGTGGACATGTGTTCGAAGACCAAAATCCACCATGACTACGGCCTCCGGGCTGGGTGGTCACATGTAACGACCACTCCTTCGAGGGTGGACATGTGTTTGAAGACCAAAATCCACCATGACTAAGGCCTCTGGGCTGGGTGGTCAC